CTCCCCCATAGGAAGCAAATCTGACTCTGTACTACCATTTTTATATCTTTTTTTTATGGTAAATCTCTCTTTTTTCACGCTGTGGGATTGGTTTATTGCCATTTTCAAGCACATAAACTGCATTTGTAATACACTACCTGCACATGTGGTGTCATAACAATCTCTTTATGTGCATGACTGATTGCAAATCAGCCTCTGTACGATTAAATTTGTTCCCCACTTTCCCTTTACCACGTAATAAGCTAAGAATGCCATCTATGATGAGAAGCTCTCTACTATCCAAAAGCAATATTGCAGTTTCGGACCAACAATATGAAAGAACTCAAATTATAGTTTTCATCAATTTTACAATGCAAAATCCAGTTTACAAGAGCAATCAGGCATTAAGATAGCAATTTCTGTAGCAATATACACCTGTCAATCAAAATTATGAGAAACCAGTTGTGTATTTTCCATACATATTTTGCATATAAGAGAAGTAGGATGGGCAGCAATTACAATCAGAAGGCTACTGCCTCTCTTGCTGCAAAAGGCCAGTAAATCATACACGATTTATGTTAATGAGACTCTAGCTTTCCAGGGTGCAGTTTTGAAGTACGCACAGGAATGGTTCCTCCAATTAAAGATTCATAAGATGGCGGGCAAAACTGGTATGCAAGAAATGGCCACCCTGCATGAAAATCAAACATCACGCCTTCTCTAACATAAGATCTACCCATATTAGCTCTCTAATTGAATAAAGCTAATGCATACAATTTTTTTTTTTTTTGTCTCAAGACTCAAAACAGTAAACTTATGAAGTCCCCAACTTATGCTCAAACATTAAGATGAATTTTGATGAGCGGCAAGTCCATGTTGAAAATAATGGGGAGTATCAAAATACTAAAAATCTACCTAAACTTTTGTGAGATTATCCCATTAAATTCCCAAAAGGAGACCGCATCATTCACCAATATGAATTTTCCAAAGAACTCTAGATATAAAAGATGATATCTATTTTTTTTTTAAGTTAAACTATTATATTAATGAATTTAAAGGAGTGCAGAGAAGAGATGAACAGATAGAGCATATACAAAAATTACGCAAGCCCAATTGGCAGGTGCCCTGTACAAAAACTCACAAGGGGGCCAAAAAAATGCTCTACATCAAAAAAAGATAAAAGACGGTGCAAGCTTAAAATTGCCTACAATCCCTTAAGACTGTTGAGTCTTGCGCCCTCCCTAGCTAGAGCGTCGGCAGCAACATTAGCTTCCCTAAAAGTGTCTCCAAGTATTTCTTAAGGTACTGGTGATGAAAACTATTTTGTCGAAGATATGAACGTCTCCACGGGTAGGGACCAGTACCAGTAGCCCAAGTTGATATTTTTAGAGTCACCTTCAGCAACCAAGTCCTTGTTTCAGCTAGGGTCGAATCTTCGAAGCCCTTCAAGCCAGGCCAAAGCCTCCGCAGTGGTAGAATCTGATGAACCAATAGGTAAAGAGAAGGAAAGGAGGGTAGAACCTTCAGAATTTCTAAAGATGCCTCCCATGCCAGAGCGGCCTGGGTTGCCAATGGAGCAACCATCAAAATTGAGCTCAATATGCCCATCTTCAGGCAGCCTCCACAGAGAAGAACGAGATATCCTTTAGGCCCTGAGGTTCAAGTGCCAATTGTGGAAGAGGTCGGCAAAAGAGGAACTTCTGAAAATACTGTGGTTCTTGGTCCAAAAGGAAACTAGGGTGTGATATTTGTCAAACAAGGTAGAAGTAGGGGCTATCTCCGCCCTGAACATACGGCTGTCCCTTTCGAGCCATATAGTTCATAAAATGGCCACAATCGATGCTCTCCATAGGAAGTAACCAGAGCTAGTCCAAGGGGTGTGGAGGCAGGTTGAAAAAAGTTAGGGAATGGACTAAAGGAGCAACCCAATGCGAATTAAACAAGTGGAGTACATAGGACCACAGTGTAGATGCCACTTGGCAATGAATAATGAGATGAGCATTTGTATCTTCGGCCTTCAAGCAAATTGTACATCTATTGGGTAGGGGGAGTCCTCTCGGAAGATGGTCAAGAATAAAGGCTCTTTCGTGGAGCCCAGTTGAAGAATTGGATCTTGGAAGGGATAGCCGAGAACCATGCTTTGGCGGCAATGGAGGGAGGCGCAGCAGAGGAATTGGGTGGTAGGTTGACGGCTCGATAGAAAGAAGTTACTAAGAAGGCCCCAGAAGCATCTGGAGTCCAATGATCTTGTCCTCCCCAGAAGGAGGGATGAAAATCTGTGCTAGGGTGGATGACAAAGCACTAATCTCGTCATCAGTGAGGGGCCTCCTGAAGTTGGGGTTCCGTTCTAGAGTGCCTAGGACTAGCAAAACTGTTGCCTGCCATGGCGAGTGGATCAGCAGCAATTCTGTAACGAGAGGGGAACTGGTCCTTCAGCAGGTGGTGCCTACCCGAGCGTCTAACCAAAAGGGGATTATGTCGCCCATTCTTGGGCGAAAGCGCACCTTGTCTAAGAATAGGTTGTGGCAGTGGCGAGGGGACCTCCAGAAGCCTGATAAATGACCACTGGTTCTAACAGATGGTAGTTATACATGGTCCTCATGACAATATTTGCGGGATATGACTTCTCTCCAGAGGTGATTTGGCTGGGCGGCAAAACGCCACCACCATTTATCGAGCAGTTCTAAGTTTGTGGCTTTAATATTTTTGATGCCAAGACCCCTTGTGATTTGGGAGTGTATACCTTGGCCCAAGATATGAGATCGAATTTATTGCTGCCCTAGCCTGACCATAAGAAATTTCTCATGAGCTTTTCCAATCTGGCTTGAACAGAGGCTGGCATGTAAAAGAGAGACATGAGGAAGAGCGGGATACTAGCCAACGTGGCCTTGATGAGGGTCAATCAACCAGCTGGAGAGAAGAATCACCCATTCCACCCAGCTAGCTTACTATCAAACTTGTCGATTATTAGGCTCCACTACTCGAGTCTCGGTAGGTAGAGACATAGAGGGAGGCCCAAGTGGATGGGAGGTCATCGACAGCGCAACCCCATCGGTCGACAAGACTTTGTACTAGGGAGCTATCAGCGCACACTCCTAGAGGGAGGCCCAAGTGGATGGGAGGTCGTTGACAGCACAACCCCATCAGTCAACAAGACTTTGTACTAGGGAGTTGTCGGTACACACTCCCATAATTTTTTATGTTGCCATGTTCTCTTTGAAGCCGGTAGCTAACTCAAAGCATTGAAGGATAACTCATCAGGCACTTCGCTTGCTGTTGGTAGGCGTTTCAAAAGAGGAGAGTGTCATCGGCATATTGAAGGTGTGAAATGATGGGGGGCATATTTTCCTATGCGAAAGCCCGAAAGGAGACCCGCACGATATACTCTCGAGATACAAACACCAAACACCTCAGCTATCAATGCAAACAGGAAAGGAAACAGTGGGTCACCCCGTCGAAGGCCTCTTAAGGCCTGGAAATAACCTTTGGGAGAGCCATTGATGAGCACAAAGAAGGGAGGTTTAGCTATGCATCCTTGGATCCATCTCTTCCTAGTAACCCCGAAACCCATTCTTAGAAGGGTCTCATCAAGGATATGCCAATCAATGTGATCATAAGCTTTCTCCCAGTTGATTTTGATCACGAGGCCAAGGGTTTTAGAGAGGTGGCAAGAGTGGATGCATTCATGGGTTATAACAGTGCCATCGAGGATTTGCCGATCCTTTACGAAAGCCCCTTGGATGGGGGAAACGACCTATAGCCTAAAACATTTCTAAGGCGAGAGGCAAGAACTTTGGACAGAATCTTGTAGGAACTGTTGATCAAACTAATGGGTCTGAAGACTTTTAGCTCTTCGGCTCCTTCGACCTTAGGTATCAGTGCAATGAAGGTAGCATTCATCGTTGTGGATGATGCCCCAAGAGTGGTATTCTTCAAAAAAAGTCATTATGTTTGGTAGCAAGGTGTCCCAAAAGGATTTGAAGAGTGCGATAGGGAAGCCATCCGGACCAAGGGACCGGTCTATGCTAAGGTCATTGATGGCTTGTAAGACCTCCTCCTTGGTGACGGGTCTCTCAAGAGAGGCAGCAACATCATAAGGTAGACGAGAGAAAGACAGGTCATCCATTTGAGGTTTGGGGAATTGAGGGTGGAGAAAAGCTGGGAAACGTAATCCACAACCACCTGCTCAAAGAGGCAAGGTTCATCTAGAATTCATCATCCCACATTGAGGTGAGTGATCGAATATTTGCGCCTATGGTAGTCTGCAATCTTATGAAAATTAGCCATACTAAAATCTCCAAGCTTAAGCCATTGGACCCTAGCTCGCTGGGACCAATAAAGTTCTTCCTTCCTTAAGTATGAGCTGATACTCTAGTTTGGTATTAGACCGAAGCTGAAGTTCGCAAGGGGAGAGAGTTTTATGCCCCTCAGTAGAGTCCCAAAAGTGAATGAACTCAAGTAGGGAAGTTTTCTGAGCTCTAAAGTTTCCAGGTAGCTGTGAGCTCCAAACTTTAAGGAATTCTTAAGGAATTGAAGCTTCCTTTGTAGCCTGAAGCCAGCTCGACTGTGCACCAATGGGGAAAATGAGTCCCACAAGGATCGAACGAAAGATGGGAAATTTGGCTCTTCAAACCATGCCAACTCGAAGCGAAAAGGGTTGGGACCCTTTGGACAGCTTGGTTGTCGAGAAGGATGGGGCGGTGATCTGACGCTGGCTTGGGAAGGACAAGGGAGTGAGTTTTAGGAAAGTGGTTGTCCCAATCTATGGAGGTCAGATTCTATCTAATTTTGATAGGTTGGGAGTTGAGGAATGGTTCGACCATGTGAATTCAGTCCTTTCAAGGGGGATGTCGAGGAGGTTCTTACGGAAGTTGAAGTCCGAAAACTTGACTATAGTTGGGGTAATGCTATGATTGGAGTTATGCTCATGCGACCATCTTGTGACGTTGAAGTCGACCCCTAAGCACCAAGTGGGAGGGGCCAGGGAGGCAGATTGGACTTCGCCCCCAAAAGCATCTCGAATTGTATCTGAGTTCAGTCCATACACCACTGTGGCATTCCAAAGAAAGCTGTCAAAGTTCTTGGAGAGGATGGCTGTGACAAAAAAACAGCCAATGGAGTGGTGAGCAAGAGAGTGGATGATCGAGTCCCAGAGGACCCATATCGACCGAAGCACCATGGGCTTCGAGAGCATGCCATTGGCACGGTATGAATTTTGTTTCCACCAACCCGAGGAGGGAAGGTGAGGTTGTAGAGCAAACGTTGTGGATGTGGTTCCGCTTGTTCGGGTGGCCCAGACCCTGGACATTCCAACTAAGAATCTTCATCGTGCAGAGGGTGGGGGAGGGGTTCGCCTAGACGAGCGTATGGTAGTCTACCAGGCCGAGGAGGTCAGGGCAGCATGGAGGAGGGCTGAAGGATCCCCTCTCTCATAATTAATTCCACAGTGGAGGTTGGCTAATTCTCGTTTACCTCTGGTAGAGGCCATGGGACCCTTGCCTTTAGTATCCTTAGTAGCATTGTGCAAGATTGTGGTCCTGATGAAGGCTTGAAGAGCTTCTTTTGGTTCGTTGAATTTGAACCCCAAGACTTTGAGAACTTCGTCGATGTTACCTTGAGCATCGTCCAAATCATCCATGAAAATTGAATTGACAAAAGCCATAGACTGCAAAAAAGATGAGTCTGTGATCTGCGGGGAATTAGGAACCTCTAGCCGATGCTGAGGGGTGTAGTTGAGAAAATGGGGGTGGTGATTGTCTCTCCTTTGGATGCGAAAAGAGATCCAACTCTGGGGAGTGTTTGGTAGAGAAGGGAGGGAATGAGGGACCAGCATAGAAATAGAGAGAGGAAGAAGAGCGGGGACTCAAGGGAAGGAGTGGATGACCCAAAAGGGCGGGGGGGATTTGGTAGAAGAGTGGGGAGCCAGGGATGGTTTTGTTGGGTTTTTGTGGCCATTTAAAGGCCTTATGAGAGCATGTACTGAAAATATATAATGAATTATTAACTTCAGCGAGGGTATCGTCCAGCTTGTAGGCCATAATAATGTCTTAGATTAAGCTCATAAGAGTTTTGACTAGCTATGATTCAATGTGAAGTCCAAAACCCGTAGGTAGTCCTAGGCATCGTGTAAGCACAACTGATAAGGGTTTCAATGTGGGGTTATGAGGTAGGAGATGTGCCCAAGACAGTTGGCCAGGGGACTTAGATTTGACTCCCGTGTGTGATGGATGGCCTGAGAGGACAACGGCCTAAAACCTCATCATTACAATCACACGACACGTACACTAGATAGCCATCCGAGAAGCGACCCTTTTGGATAAGGGTGTGGGTGACGTGTACATGTGTGGAAGAGAGACTGTGTTGGAACGACCCATGGAGCATACTACCAAAATGGGCTTTGGACCTGTCCTCAAGGAGGGACCTGTAATCCATGGTCTAGAATCGTATCTTCTCCACTTATTGGCCGACTTTAATAATCCAATCATGAACCCTACGATGGGTTGTGGTCATAGAATCGATTGGGTCAGTTTGAGAAGGTGCAATGAGATGCAGCCTCTAAAGACGATAGAGTCCTCACTATTTTTGTCGTAATCCTAACTCTATAGATCCAATTCCCATCAAATATTCTTTAATATGTTTAAATAAGTCTTAATTATTCTATAGATAATTAAAATGATTTTTAGACCTCTCTAGGTATTTTATTTTATTGAAATATGATTTCATGTAAGGAAAAATCAATTTTCTGGATTTATTTTAATTAGAGAGACAAATAAAATATTTGGAGGTTTTGTAAAATTTGTTTTAATATCTAAAAATTAACATTAATATATTGGGGTCCAATGGGATCCAATGGGCCCACCAATGTGTTGGGCGTGAGGCCCACATGGACACCGCATGGGTGGTGCACCCCACCGCATGCAAACTTTCCTTATTGTTTCATGTGCCTTCTAAGGCATGGGTTGATTTGAAGTTTCGGAAAATTAAGGTGTAAAGATTTGAATTGAAAGTAGATAAAAAAGTGTAAGATATCAAATAATTATGAATTAAATACTTTCTCTGCACAAAATATTTGATGGGAATGACGTTTTGAAAACTGAGGGATAAGGTTCCACATCATTGCTTTAATCATGATGGTTGATCTAAGGAATGAATAGTTGAGATCTCTTCACTCCGTACGTCACCAAGGTTAAAGATCAAGATTAAACCTCATAATGATAGAAAAACCCTAACCCTAAAAACCCAAGCCTCTTGTCTATATATACTAGCTATGGGGGTTCTATTTCTCATCTCTCTATCTCTCTTTCTAAGCAACCAAAGGGGCACACCCTACTCTAGCCTTCTCTCTCTTCTTTCTCTCATAAAAAATTAGGGTTTAGGAAAAGTTAACCCTAAGGGGTGGTACACCCAAGCCATACAAGCCCTAGTGCTAAGTTCTTGCCTTATGCTCATGTGTTGAGCCTTGGTCAAGGAAATCCCATGTGATGTTCTCTAAGGGTTTTTTCTTGGGCTTCCCTAATTGTGAGGTGTGTTCTTGAATCGAGATCCCATGTGCCATCGGTAGAGGAGACCCGGTTTGGGGTTACGAAGTCCTTGGGGTTAACCTGAGGCAAGGTACATGTTTCATATTTTGTTGCTTCTATTACTTTCTTATGTAATTTTTAGTTCTACATGATGAATGTAATTTTTGGCATGCAAGTGAGAGGTCTTGGCTATTTCATTGAGTCAAAATTGTATTTTGGACACTTGTAAATGATCCGAGTGGCAATACGTATAAAAGAGTTGAAAATTTTTAATTGGTATTGACTTGTCCGGTCACATGGTCCACCTTTCATGTTTGTCATGGCCGGGGAAACATCCTCGATTGAAGGGGTTGGGGCAAAACCAAGGAGAGGAGAAAGAATTGAGGTCGTAGGGAGGCGTGTGGGTGATGGGTAGGAAGGGCTGGTGGAGTGGGCGTAAGGGGGCAAAAATTGGGAGGATGAAGAAGGGAGGGAAGGATGGGGAAGGGAGGGAAGAGGGTTTGAGGTAACGAGGCCAAGAGGTGGAGCGAGAGAGGGGAGTAGGGGGTAACATAGCAGAGAACGAAGGTGACACAGGGGAATGGGGCGAGGAAAATGGGAATGGGAACATGGGATTTGCAAAAGTGCGCTGGTGTGACCAGAGGAGGCCATGCTACCAGCAAGGTGAGGGTGGACGAGTGCTTCAAGAGGGGTGGAGCAAAGAGGCGAGGCTTGAGGGATGTTGGTGGAAGGTGAGAAGCAGGCAATAGCGAGGGAGTGAAAGGAAAAGGAAGTGGTGGTTGAGGGGGCACATCATAAGCTAGAGAAGGGTGGGACGAGGTCAATGAAAATCTGACAGCCCAGGAAAGGCTTTTGGGGAAGAGGCAGTAGGTGGTGCAAGAAGGGGCAAGGCCATGTGGGGTGGGCAACCCAAGGAACATGCGGTTGGGTCAATGCCAGCTGCATGACATGAGGGTGAAGGATGAGGTGTGGTCACATCTGGGAGCGGTAAGGCCACAAATGGGGAAGAAATAGGTTCAACAGGCTGGATGGTGGTCATTGAATCGCTAGTGGGGCAGGGCGAGGGGGCGGCAAAAGTTGGGGAGAAACGTGTTGAGGAAAGCACTCTGAAGGTACCACGTGACAAGGGCCAGGTGGTGCAGTGCCATTGGGTTTTGGAGGTTGCTCACATGGGCAAGGACGAAGTGCCATGGGGTAACTCATCAGGGTTGACAACTGTCCCAGGGTTTGAATTTGAGATTGAATTTGAAATCCCCTCCCTAGGGGAATGAGAAGAAGCGCATGCATCCCTACGATGAAGGGATGGACAGTTGCGGTGCCCACCAGGTCGTTGCCTCTGGTTACAACGAACGCAAGAGTGGCGTCTACGGGAGACCATGGTCCACCAGTTCTGGCCTGCAGGTGTAGGGTGGTCCATAAGAGTATGGAGGGGAAACTGGTGTTCACGAACATGGCAAGGCAAAAGTGGGGAAGCGCAGTACCAAGCTAGCGGAATACAGTAGTACAAGCCATCAGCATCGATCCACAGGAAGGTATGAGATAAGGGATGAGGGTTTCAACGAGGAGTTGAATGGTCCTGAGAGGGAGTGATGCTGAGGATTTCCAATGAACCAAGATGAAAGCCCAACAAGAGTCGCCAATCTTCTTGAAAGTATCGATGTGCCAAGCTTGAAGGGTAATATGGGATACTGTGAGCCAAATTTTCTGCGGTTGTGCAGCGCCCATTTCCTTATTCCGGCGTTGTAGAGAGAGGAGGGCTCCTTTGAATTGAGGACTGCAACTGTTGAGAGCTTTAAGGTCTTTTCCGAGGGGAAAGAGAAAAGCGTGTCTAATTTTTGAGATTCCCACATTAATTTACAAGGTTTTTTTTTCTTTTTTTTTTTGGGAGGTGGTGGGCGTGGTAGTCAAGCTGCTTCATTAGAAACAAACTCTTCAATATCTGGACAATGGTCAACCTGGTTCATGGTCTTGCTTTCATGCATTCCCAATTAGTTTAAACAATGAAATGACGGGTAAAAATCCTAGTGACTAATGAATTCAGTTGTCAATGCATGGAGGGTGTTAGTGACTTAGGATGCTCTAGACCTTATACAAAGCCAATGTGATTCACCTTGGACCGTAGACGACTTGATCCCCAGGATAATGACCCTTACGCAGTCATTTTTATCTTCTAAATATAAAAAAATCTAGTCATATTTTCCTTGTGAAAGCGTAAGCATTTTATCAGCCTTCATTAAGCAGGAATCCGTAATATGTGCCTTTTCATGTATCCATTTGTAGACAATTACTCTCCCCAAAATATGCAATTTCATAAATCCTATCACATAGTTTAGCGCACAAACCTTGAAAACAATTATGTGTGCCACAGGAAATCCTTGATTACCATTGCTTGCAAGAAGTGAGAGGTCTCCTACAAGATCAAGAACTTTATGCCGGCATGGTTCATCATGGAAACGCAATGGTGGATTAAGCCATCCTTCACTGGTACTGCAAATGAAATTGGGAGTCAACAAAATTAAAGTATTCTGATAATAACAATAGCTAGACTTGGAATGAAGACTATGTTTCTGAAATGAATTCCTCGAGTAATGTCAATAAAATCCTCAAAATGAAGACCATCTCTTCAAATGTCCATACAATGAAATATAAAACACAAGTCTACAATTTAATAGGCTCCACAAAGATTAGAATCTTTCGATGTTCTAATCTATGTATGAAACGACAAAAAGGATCAAGTTTACATATCCATTTCACCCCTGAGAACATAGTAAGAGCTATTGACATGCTTGGAACCATGTCAAAAAAGCCAATCAAAGAAAGAAACAAAAATAGCAAGCTTCATGAGAGCATTAACTTGGCTGAGCATATCAGGGAAGCATTTGCTTCTGGGCCATTACCTATTGATTCTTTATAAGTGATCGTACTTATATATATAATAGTGATGTCCTTGAATGGAATAAATATTAACACATTTTATTTGTCACTGGTGTTAGTTCTCTTGCAACTGGAAGCTCTCATTACAGTAGAAAATCATCATAAAAGCGTAACTAAAGCACATGCACCTAAACACTTCTTTTTGAAGAAAGTTAATGAGCACTAGAACATAATATCTTTATGAAGTCATTCTTATAGCCAGTTTGGCTGGGTAGATAAGGGCCTGAAGGGACAGCACTCATCCAAGATAAACGGTAAAACTTCTTTTCAAGGTTCCTTATTTTTCTGGTTTAACCCCTCAAAACCTGCAGTTTTCTAGGTTAATTGTGAAGAAATTATTGACTCTTAAGAATGGTACTTCATGCCCCTTCCCAGCAGGTCTGGTACGTATCCACAAGCAAGCAGGTCCTTAGTTTCAGATGTTTGTGTACTATGGTGTAGTGAATCTTCCTACCATAAAATTGCAATCACAGAGCAATATATTGCAGCCAAACTGCCCGTAAGCTTGTAAGTGTCCACAAAGGAAAACAGAGCGGAAACTAGTGTTGATAGATATCGACATAAATGTCATGCCTACCACATGTCCAAAGTAACTAGTACTTCGATCTGAAAAGCTAATATGGCAAGACATGCATGTACAAACTATAAACACTTGGTGACGGAGTGCTAAGGTTCAAAAGGCTATTAGTGAAAACGATCACGTTATAAAGCTTGACAATATGGCAGAAATCATCAAAACTTAGAAGAATATAAAAATACTAAGAAAATAGTAAGGCTAAACCTAAGGCATACGACAATCTACAAAATACACTGGGGACAAGAGAAGGTGAAAAAGATGTCTTCAAACTAACAAAGATGAGAGAGAGGAAGTGTAGGGATCTATATCATATTAAATGCATTAAGAGTGAGGATTAGAGGGTCTTGATGAAGGATGATGAGGTCAACGAAAGGTGGGCAATTTATTTCCAAAAATTGTTAATGACGAACACCATGAGAACACAGCATTCGGAGGAACTTTTAACATTAATGAGGGCGGAGTTTATAGATACATCCGTAGGATTAGGACATTTGAAGTAAAAAAAGATTTGAGAAAAATGAAGATAGGAAAGACTTTAGGATCAGATGGTAACCCGATAGAGTCTGGAAGTGCATGGGGGAGATTGCCATATGTTAGCTAACTAAGTTGTTCAATACAATATTGCGAAGAAAGAAAATATGTATGAGGGTCCCTAGAAAGCATATGATATGGTGAGAGATATGTATGAGGGATGCTAATAATTGTGAGGACAACTAGTGGAGAGAAAAGTTTGTAACAATAATAAGCCTACATCAGGGGTCAGCGTAAAGGCCATAGCTTTGTTTTGGTTATGGACGAGTTAACTAGGTACCTGCAAGATGAGGTACCGTAGTGTATGTTGTTCACGAATGATATACTAATTAATGAGACTAGAGGAGGCGTCAACGCAAAGCTAGAACTTTGGAGGGATGCTCTAGAATCTAAAGGTTCTAAAATTAGCCGGAGTAAGACATAATATACTAAATGCAAGTTTAGTAATAATAGGAGTAAATCGAGGAAGTAGTTAAGATTGATGGCCAAGAAATACCTAAAAGAGATTACTTTTGATATCTTGTGTTGACAATCCAAGAGAATGGAGGGATTGAGGATGATGTCGCGCAAAGAATTAGAGTTGAGTGGGCAAAGTGGAGAGGTGTACCTAGAGTTTTATGTGATTGCCGCATGCCTATGAAATTGAATGGGAAGTTTTCTATATGACAGTTGTAATGTTGAAGGTATTTGGAGGTCCCCTCAAGGGTAGCAAAACAAAAATTTCTTGGCTTCCAAAATCAGATAAAAACACATAAAATGAAATTTACAGCAATAGTACTTCAAAAGAAGCCCCTAAAATGATTTACTATAATGACTCCAATAGTACTCCCAGGACTTTTTCCGCTCATAACATGATAGATTGAGCACAACAATGGACAAAATTACAACTCCTTAATTCAACAATTTCAAGACATAATTCTGCATTACAACTCATTAAAAAAAAGCACAATAACCATCAATCCTCACAAATACAGAAATCAAACAATGACGTGCACAAGTTAGAGTGGCATGGAAATTCAAAACCAAATCTTCTTACAGGGCCTAGATAACCCCTAGGGACTTCTATACAAACCTTATTGAGAAAAACAAAGTCAACAATTAAGCCATATGAAATACAAATTATTTGAACGAGAGCATCAACATAATGGTGATAAAGTTTACAACTATGAATACAAAGGACATTATTGGTATCCATGAAAAACCATTGCTAAAAAAGGAACCAATGAGCAAGATATTAACATATTATCTCCTTGGTATAACATCGATGTAACATTTGTTTTCTCTAGGAGCCAAATTTTCTGAAAGTTACCAGGAAAATAAGGACCCGTTTGGATCTTCAGAAAGAAATTGTCTAAAAAAGACTATTTCCTGTAAAATATATTCTTGTGAAATGTAATAGCATCTAAATGCAATTTGAAAAATACATTTCTACCTGGAAAAGGGGTTAAATGCAAGGAATCTCTAGAGAGGAATACATGGTAGAGATAAGAGGGAAAAGGAGATGGCTAGCGCAATATGGAAGTAGCAAGATATTTCAATGAAAGGGGGAAAGAGGGAGAGAGACAAGAAACAAAGATACAAGGATTTTTGAGACCGAGAAGAAAGAGAGAGATGGGTAGGGGGAAAAAGAGAGGAGAGAGAGAGCGTTGGGTTAGCAAGGAGAGAGAGAGAAAGATGGGAAGAGATTGCCCTTTTTGTCCAGACCCCAACAAGCTATACGCCACTTTTGATTTTTTTTTTTTTGCTCGGTTCGGCAAGGAAACCTGACAAAAAAATTAATTTCTTAGCTTCTATGGAGAAAAACAACTTCTCTGTTTTGGGATTAAAGTAAAGAAAACAATCTCTAGCAAACAAAACATTTTGCCCCAGATTTTGGATCCAACAATGGAAATATGCAATCTCCTTGGAAAACCATTTCCTAGTTATCCTTTTCTAGGGATCCACTTAATATGGGGCAATGGATTTGAGCATTTCTTTATCAAAATTTCAGAATCAATCTTTTTCCATTACCACCAAATGTCTTGAACTTTTGATAAAAAAAAATCATGTGCATCAAGCTTGGATAGCAATTAAGATTTGAAGGAACAAAATGGCAATGCAAGGCAACATTAGGAGACAAGTTAAAGGATACATTAAATGTACTGGAACCAATAACATACTTCAACTATTTCATCCAGAGGTCATCCCAAATTTGTGCTCCTTAATCATATGGGATACTGAACCCATTCCTAAAAACATTAAGAATCACCTGGAATTCATTCAAAATTATGTAATGATACCATCTATCTAGATACCAACACCAACTCATGAGTTTCTTGGATTATCAAAAGGATCACCAGTCAACTTCAATAAAAAAGCAAGTGGATCTACAATGTTGCTCCTTTCTACTTAGTTCTCTCTCAAAATAATTGAATTCATAACAGATTATTCTGTCTATTACAAACTAAATTAAACTATCGTTTCTTTTTTTTTATCTGTTGACTGTTGTATTAAAGTAATAGGCAAATTATAAGAGTTTAGGCAATCCAGTAGATAGGTGCTTTGCACAAAAACCCTCAAACAGGGTTCAAAAAATGCTCTACATCCAGAAGATGAAGAATAGAACTAGGTACAAAAAATGGGGGACTATGAGCTCAAAAAGTTTCCAAAAACCCCCCTGATGGCGTTTTGTGCTGCTCGGTCCATAGAAAGGGCTTCGGCTGATGCATTGGTTTCTCTCCAAATATGCCTCCATGAAACATGCATAGGTTCGCTGATGGTGAAAATTTCATCAAAAATATGGTTGAGACTCCAGGAGCAAGGCGAGGACGTGGAGGCCTGGGCAATGACATTTTTGGGGTCTCCCTCGACAACTAATTCTGGGCCCTAACTAGGATTGAAGCTGCTGAGGCCTTCGAGAAGAGCTATAGCCTCTGCGGTTAGAATCAATGTGCCCAATTAATTGAGGAAAGGAGAAGAGAGTACAACCGTCCTCATCCCTGAAGATACCCCCTATGCCTGAAGGGCCCAGGTTGCCGAGGGAACAACCATCAAAGTTTAGCTTGGACTGGCTGGGTTCAGGCAGTCTCCATCGAGAGGCACGAGGGATTCTAGTTGCCCTCAAGTACAGCATTGTCTGTCAGTCTTGATGAAAATCTGTATAAGAAAAATGCTTAAAGGAGTCGTGATATCTAGCTCAAAAGATGACCAAAGTTTTGACCCTGTCCTTCAAGGTTGCGAGGGTAGCCTTCTCCCACAGAAGGTCTTACTATTGTTCTCATTCAAAATGACCCACAGCATGACAGACACAGAAGCCCGCCATAGGAGTAAGCCCGACTTGAACCACGAAGGAGAGAGAAAAGCAGAAAAAAGACGTAGGACTAACCTTGGGGTCACCATGACTAGTTGAAAAGTTGGAGGTGATCTCCCCAAAGGGATCTAGCTAAGTCGCAATGGATGAAAGGTGTGTGTTGATTCCTTTCTCCTCAATGCACATCACACATCTGTTGGGTATCAAAAAAGCCCTTCTTTGGGGCTTGTCAACAGTCGAGGCTCTCTTGAAGAGCGCACTCCAATTGGAGACCTAGATCTTGGGAAGAATAAAGGGAAACTGGTCTTTAGCAGCTACGAAGGGGGGTGTTATTGGCAGGGTAGGAGGTGAGGTGATTTGTGGTACAATGAGGCTACGGAGAAAACACCTAAGGGGGCGAATGACCAAATAATCTTGTCGACACCATGGGGTAGGAGGGCGACAGATCTTGTGGTATGCAATGGGCCTCCTAAAGTTGGAGTGCCAAACTTTAGCAGGACCCAACGAAACAAAGTGATCAGCTACAATTGTGTGGGTCTCACGAGCTATGAGGAACGAATTGGGAAAGTGTTCCCAATGTCCTGTCTAGAGATCGGACCAGAAAAGGACTCTATTACCTTCACGAGGTCACACACAATTATTCTCTAAGAAGAGACTGTGGCTCCAAGGGAGGGATCTCCAAAGCTCGAGGATCTGCCACTAGTCCCTAAGTTAGGAAGCCAACTTGAGGCTCTGCAGTCGTACTTTTGTCAGAGGACGTCTTTCCAAAGGTGATTATCTTTGTGGCATAGTATCACCACCATTTGCCAAGGAGAGCTAGATTGTTAGCTTTGAGACTGTGAATACCTTGGCTCCTTGGGCTTTGGGCGAGCACACTTTAGCCTAAGAGATGAGGTAATACTACAACCCCCCATTCTCGACCAAAGGAAGTTCCTTATGAGCTGCTCCAGCCTTTCCACTACCAACGAAGGCATATGAAAAAGGGAAATACGGAAGATTGTGATGTTGGATAGGGTGGGCTTGATGAGGGTTATTCACCCTACCAAGGAAAGAAACATTCCCTTCCAACCAGGTAGTCTCCAATCAAACTTGTCAATTATGTGGTTCCATTGCCGCAACTTGGGCTTTGCGAATGCACAATGGCAGCCCCAAGAAGGTGGAGGGCAGCTCATCAACCATACAGCTCCACCTGTCTGCCGGGTTATGAATCATATAGGCTTCAGTGGACACGCATATCATCTCGGAGTTGGTCATACTAACCTTGAAGCCAGTGGTCATATCATAACATTTTAGGAATAGGAGAAGGGAGTCAACTCTTTGGGTGGAGGCATCACAGAAGAGCAAGGTATCGTCAGCATATTGGAGGTGAGTGATTACGGGGCCCTAACTCCCAATAATAAAGCCCTTGAGGAGGCTAGGGTGATACATTCTAGAGATGGACCTACTAAAACCTCAATCGCAATAGCAAAAAGGAAAGGTTATAGGGGGTCATCCTGTCAAAGGCCTCTAGAGGCAAGAAAGAATCCTTTGGGGGAGCCATTAAGAACATAGAAGAGGGGGTTCGAGATGCGTCCACACATCCCGCCCCTCCAACGTTGCCTAGAACCCATCTTACGATGGGTTTCGTTTAGAATGTCTCAGCCAAGGTGGTCGTAGGCTTTCTCCCAATAGAGTTTGATGACCAATCCTAGAAGTTTAAACAGGGATCTAAAGCGGATGCATACGTGGGCAACGAGTGCACCATCAAGGATCTAGCAGTCCTTGAAAAAGGTCCCTTTGGTCAGAGAAATGACCCAGCCGAGGACCTCCTTTAACCTAGTGGCAAGAACCTTGGAGAGAGAATCTTGTAAGAACTGTTAATTAGCCTAATTGACCTGAAGTCTTTGAGCCCTTTGGCCCCTTCAACTTTGGGAATTAAGGCAATCAACCTAGCGTCCATGGCCTTATGAATGATGCTTCTAGTATGGTATTCGTCAAAGAAGGCGAGCAGGTCTGGCCATATGGCATCCCAAAATATTTTGAACAGAGCCACTAGGTATCCATCAGGGCCAAGTGCTCTATCCTATCCAAGGTCGTTGATGGCCCTCAGGCCCTCTTCAAAGAAAGGTCTTTCGAGCCAAACAGCTTTGTCCTATGGGATAGATTGAAAGGAAAAGTTAGCCATCCTCGGTGTGGGGCCTGGGGAGCCAAGGAAAGGTGAGAGAAGAAGTCAATGATAGCCTTTTCCACGAGGGGATGTTGGTCGAAGACAAGGTCATCTACCTTGAGGTGGGAGATAGACTTGTTTGCGCCTTCTACAGTTGACCATCTTATGAAAGAATGTGGTATTGAGGTCACCAAATTTGACCCAATTGACCCTGGATCTCTGAGACCAAAAGATCTCTTCTTTACAAAGGAGGAGCGGGTAGTCAAGCTTAGATTGGGATCTAAGTTACCTTTCATCAGGAGTCGAGCCTCTGTTCTCTTTGATGGAGTCCCAGTGCAGGATGAACAGAAGCAATGCTTCTTCTGGGATCAGAAATTTCCTGGGAGTTGGCGTCTCCATTCTTTCAAGGCAGATTTGAGGAGCCGGAGTTGGCATTGTCGGAAACCAGCCCAGCTGTGGACCTGGTTCGAGAAGGAGGCCAACCAAGACAGGACCATGGAACACTTATGTTATTGGAAAAGCATTTACAGTTGCTGGACAGCATGTGGAATGTTTACTAAGTTTGAATAGTCCATTATGCATATAAATTAATGTCAACCCTGCTAATATTCATTGGCTAGTATGCATAGCTAATGCCTGTCAGATGTGCAGAAGGTTAAAGGAACAAAATGTAATCATAGCGAACCAAAAATTTGCATCAAAATACAACGACTTTTGCGACAACGATGCAAAACATGAATACAACCAAGCAAGTCTATCAGTGTAACTCCAACCCAAGGTTAAGGGGAAGCCAACCTACAAACAATAGCATTTTCCACAGATCCTCCAGCAATTAGTCCATTCATTCGTAGCTGCTCAACCTGCATCAAAGAAATGAAACCATCAAAAGAGTTTAAGACAAAACTATACATGTTTAGAAAGGACAATTATGGCTAATTCATAATATCTGTAATAACACCCGAGCAAAGCTAGATGAATAGTTATTCATCACATCTAAATCACTGGCATGGTTGACAAAGGTCTAGTCCCAATCGGCACCACAAAGATGAGGTTCAGGTCCAACACCTAGAAGCTGCTTTTGATCTGCCTTTAAAAAATGCTTGGAGGAGGCTTGTGCCTCCTAGAGTGACTTGCATGCGTCCCACTAAAGCTTATGCCTCTTGCTTGCAGACCCTAGTATTCCTTTCCATTTGGCTCTAGTCTTTGGGTTACAACATTATCAACCCACACCCAGAACAACTCACACAACATTCATGTCCTCATTCAAGAATGGTGATTTAGGGTAGAAGAAAAGATCAAACTTCTGGAAGCCTACCCTTCAAGGAGCAATCAAACTAAATTTCGATGGGTGCTCTTTGGGAAACCCAGGCCATGCAGGTGCGGGTGTGGTTTTTAGAGATCACCAACACAATATCCTTTTCACCTACTCCGAATACCTTGGCTTCCAAGATTTCCAGTATGCTGAATCATTGGCTCTCCTCAAAGGCCTTCAAAGTTTCCATCGATCTTGGGGACAAAACCTTATAGTGGAGGGTGACGCCTGAAATATCATTACTTGGGCCTCCAGGAAAGCTACTCCTCCCTGGTATCTTGCACCACTTTATGACGAGATTGTACACATTTGCAGGGATATGCCTGTATTTTGGACGCATACCACGAAGACATCAAACGAGCTCGCAAACCTGTTGGCGAAGGATGAAGCCAAGGCCCATGACGGAGACTAAGCCCTTACCTTTTTTGCTTTGGGCCACAGAGGATACTGCAAGAAGAACACCTTACTGGGAACAGACAATTTTTTGAGCCTTTTCTTGTAAACTCACCGTATACTTTGTAAGGGGGCAAGCTTATAACCCCATTTTGTATAGGGTCTGTTGACTTTTTTTGTTTTATCGAGAGTCCCGTCAAGTGGGTACTCTCGGACTAACCCAAACTTGTATTCTCCTTTTATACAGCAATACAAAAGTTAACGTTCATCAAAAAAACAAAAAAGGTGGTGGGGACACGCAATGATTTTCATAGTTGCCCTATATTCGAAATAAACAAAGAAATTGAAAATGACCTTCAAATGTCGGTTATTGGTTGACAATCTTTGCATAATTTGTTTTATAAAGCCTATATCAATGTACTACAACTTCCACAGATATATATTGGCCCTCATAATCAGCAGTTTTTATGAAAAAGCAAAACCAGAAGAGAGATTTTGTTACTGAACGTTTTGTAAATCATCATCATCAACAAAACCTTTTCCCAACTAATAGGGGTTGGCTACACGAATCTTGGTTCGTCATTTTGCTCTATTAAGGGTCATACCTGTAATGAAGCCATAGGTCCCCATATCTTTTCTTACAACCTCCAACCATGTCTTTTTCAGCCTACTCCTTGCCCTTTTTGAGCTTTTCACTTGAACTAACTCACACCTCCTAACTAATGTTGTACTGGATCTGCGCCACACATATCCAGCCCACCTAAATCTACTTTCACTCATCTTATGGCCTATTGATGTCATAACTAAATTCTTTCTAATGTATCATTTCGAATTATATCCCTTCTTGTCTTGCCACTCATCCATCTCAACATCCTCATCTCAACTACACTCATTCTATAGGTTTGTTGTTTTTGACTGCCCAACATTCCTTCCCATAAAGTAAAATTAGTCTCACAAGTGTCATATAGAACCTTCCCCTCAACTTCATTGGTATGCAGCAATCACATAAAACTCTGATTGCACATCTCCACTTGATCCACCTAGCTCTAATTTTATGTACGACATCTTCCTCAATTTCTCTATTTTCTGGGATATCGACCCAAGATGTCGAAAGTGCGCTCTTTTTGGTATTTCTTGGCCAGAACTTTTTGTAAATAAAAAAGTTAAATTGATGACATGATGAGTAGGGCACATAGTCACCGGAATCTCCGACCCTAGGCGTCGAGACTCTCTAGAATCTCTCTCCAAGACTCCCGAAAAGGCATCTCCAAGACTGCCGAAAAGGCATCTCCATGGGATCTCGATCCCCACCTTTTAGGGATCGCTCCTAGCCACTTGAAGGAGCAGTACAAGGCCAACAAGATGATTTATTGGGATCTCCCTCCCTCCCTCCTTCCCCAAGGATTTTGGATGTTGTAAAATGTAAAATTGCAAATAAAGCAATATCTTTCGCTTTTCAATGTTGTGAACTCCTCCCTCCCTCCCCATCTTCAAGGCATCTAGATGTTGTGAAGCATAAAATTGCAAATAAAGCAATAACTTTGGCTTTTGGATGTTATAAAATTTGAAATTGTAAATAAAACAAATTTTTGTCAATAAAAAATCAGCTCCCTTGATTATTATTTATTCTACAGATGTGCCTCATTGTAATTTTTTTATTGTAATTTGTAGGATTTTTTTAATAAGATTATTTGTAGGATTTATTACGCAGGATTATTGTTACAAAAACTATACTTAGAATCTAAAAATATTATATATTAATTTAAAGGAGTTTCAATGATAAAATAACTCATTTTCTTATTGCCCTTTTTATGAGCCTTTTTTATTGTATTTTTTTTATTGATTTTAAATTATCTAAAATTCCTAAAAATTATTAATTACAAACTATACATAATGAGCTCCCAACCTAGGGAGCTTCCTGCATTGGTCAATCCATTACTCCTGCTCCGGCTGCCCCCATGCCCACTCCCACACAAACAAATAAGATAGGGCATCCAGCTGGACAATAACAACAATCATGGCAATAGTCACCATGAGGCGAAAAGGCAAAATAAGCAGTACCAAAAATATAGGAATCCATATAAAGCCTTCATCTTCTTCATTACTGCTTAAGTTCCTACAAATTAACATTTGAACTTCCAATTTTCTATGATGATGTGTAAACATTCCCCACTATTGAACTTAATATTTTGTGCAGTTTGTACTATCATGCTTGAAAGTGACTATGTATTCATGTTTTTGTTGTATTGATCAACTAAAAATTTCTTAAGATGGTAAGAGTACATATAGTAGTAGTAAGCTGCTCTCTTCTCATATAAAATGATAGTGATAGACAGAAATGGCATGGCACAAACTCCAAAAGAACCAAGCCATCAGGATTTACCCCAAAGTTGGCTTATTGATATGCTTTGGACGTTGTGTTTGACAACACAGGACATATACGTCCATTAGTAGACTATGCGTATTGTATCCTCATGAATACTTCATTGATCTCTGGGAGAGGGTATATTTTCTCTTTGAGTAATGTCAGAACATGCAGTGAGACGGCTTAGATAATAAGAGGATGCACAAGGGGCTCCACTAAATTACCAATAAGGCTTTCTTATCAGCCATTGCTGGCTCCATCAAGTGAGAGCATGTGGCCTTTAAAAGTCATTAGAGCATGCAAACAACATTTGTATTGGATTATACAGTTCAATGGCAGTGTGTGTTGTTTTTGACTGACCAAGGATTAGGCAGTCTATGGCCTTAATCATGTATAAAACCCTTACCCCTGAGTATGTGGAATTACCAAAAGCATTTATAGAGGGTCATTCCTTGTTAAGGTTGGAGAGATGCCCAGGGATGGAATTTTGGCTAGGAGAGTTGTGTGGTCTCCTATGTGCAGATGTAGGATGTGAGAGCGAGGGCTAAATCTGAAAGTACTGGCAACGTGAAATTCCAAGCTATAAAATCAAATTTTTTCTTTCTTTCCTTCTATTAGTTGCTGAAAATTCGACTTATAGGTAGCACAAATACAATAAATTCCTCCTACTACAATCTAGGATCTTTATATACTTGTTGACATATTTATTCAACTGAATACAATTTTGAGACTCTCAGGAAGCAAAAATAAGAAATAAACAGCAGCAAATAAAACTAAATTAAATAAGAGAAGACTTAATGACTTTCACCTAGGGTTACCCCTCCAAAGCTTAGAATGCCCCACACTCGATCACCTGACTAATGACGCACTTAAAATTCCGGATTCTGTTGAACAGTCAAATCTAAACTGAAAAGCACCTCTGGGACACCCTCACTAAATTTTATTGGGCTTAGAGAGCAATAACATAATTAGAATTATTTTAAGTTAAATGATGATGGGGCTTCATTCCAGAATCCTGGACTTGCAGGTGGCAGAGGCGTTATTAGAAGTGATGATGGCTCCTTTATTGCCGCATTTGCCAATCGCTTTGGAATAGCATAAAATAATTTTGCATAGTTTCATGCCTTGCAAGCAGGAGTGGACCGGGCCATCCAACTTAATTGTTTTCCTTTACAGATCAAGAGCGATTCATCATTGTTAGTTAATGTAATCCATGATCATTGCAAAGCTCCATGGGCGCTCAATACTATTTTTAATAATTGCCAATACAAGCTTTCTGACAGTATTTCGTCCCTACTCCACATTTATCGTGAGGCCAATATGGCGGTTGACACATTCGCTAAGAAAGCCTCAGCATTCTCAGATGCCACTATTTGGCGATCTAGACCATCAGATTTTCTTTCTCTTGCATCACTTTATGATGTGGAACAAATGCCCTACTCTAGGGTTGTAACTTTATGAGTTATATTCTCCTTTCTTATTAATGCAAAATCGGGTAGGGGGCCTTCTCCCCCACTGACTTACCCAATAAAAAAGAGGGTGTTTCATAAAAACGGACATGTGGTCCCTAATGGGGTCCTCGTGAAACCCCCTATTGGTGCTCACACGTATGGGTCTGGGTCCTTAACCCATCCATGTGGGTCCCACACAGTTTTACAAATTATCCAGAATGCCCATGTAATTTTTAAAAAAAATAGAAATACCCTTTTAGAGTTTTTATACATTTAAAATTCGTTTTTGAAATTCTAAAAAAAATTTAAAATTCACGATAACACATTTTTAGTTGAAAA